TTTTTTTTTTTTTTTTTTTTTTTTGTACACATGCATTTGGATTTGTACCTAATGTGGCTCTGCCCACCAATTCTGGCATGTTTCTTCGTTGAATGAGACCAACGTTTTAGTTTTTGAAAATTTTAGGCTAAGAATCTATTCTCTCGTTCAAGCATAGTACCATGATTTTTTTAAAGCCATGCCTCTGAGGTCATAAATCATGATTTTGTTTTGCTTTCTGAATTACATTTGGTGATGCATCCATGGGACAAATCATTTTGCTTCTTTACAGAATAGTCTTGATCTTGACAACTTGATTTCTTTCTTTTTTGTGCTTCTTTTTTCAAATGTTGATGACACATACTTTCCATGAGATGCTGTAATAAAATTCACTTATTATAGTAAGTTTTTGTTATTGAATTTCCTTTAGTTTCCAGACATTCGAATATCTATGTATGTAGGTTTTCTTCTGGGAACAAGAAACAAGTACGTAGGATATTGAAATTTCACATATATTCATCCCCGGGTAATTACCATAATAGCTGAAGTAAAAATACTTGTAGTGCTTTCTACCTTATCCTTTCTTGAATGTACTTGTCTTTCCCCTGCCTGTGCTATTATCTCTCAGTCTGACAACCTTTCTCTTGCCCCTCTCTCTGAAGCTCTGGAGACGGAAGAAGAGAGAGAGAAACACCAAAACAGATGCAAGTTGACTGGTGGAGGGCAGTAGGGTTTGACAATGGGGAAAAAGATTGATTTTGGAACTTAGTCGAGGAAATATGGTATTTACCTTTTTAAAATGCTGCGTATGAAGAATGAAGTAAAATTTTGGAGTGACTCCAAATGGAAGTTTATGTATGAACTCTCATAATGTCACTAGATACTTAAGGTCCCTAGATACTTAAGGTCCGAGTGGACTATTTAAGAGATATTACTCTACTAGAATCAGTGCCTTGTGTGTTTGTGTGTCCGGGTCACCTTGCGTGTATCTTGACTAATCTCATGGCACAACCATCTGACTGCACTACATTTGGTTGCCAAGGAAACTCTTAATATGTTAAATGCTAGGTAGATGACTACCATGATCGGAACTATATATATATATATATATTCTCTCCTCTCTTTTCTTTTTTTGAAGGAGTGGACACGAAGCGGCGTGCCAACAAGGACGGTATAAGAGTGTGGAAACCTTAGCCTAAATGATCGAGTCATAATAAAGCGATTTAAATAGAATAGTTTTAAGCTACGATGGTTACCTACTTAAAATTTAATGTTCTATGAGTTTTCCTGACATTCTAATATCGTAGAGTTATATTATGTTGTTGTCGTGTGAGATTAGTTCAAGTGTATTCAAGTAATCGGTTGAAAAAGATTTCTCACTTCCTATTTTAGTTGATTAAAATATACTTTATTAGAAATGTCAAAGGTTTTTATAGAAAGCTTATCCTCGTTCATCTTCGGCACAAGAGTGCTCAATCAGTGAACTATTACGCACTCTTTCAAGGATGGCTGCTTCTAGGCAAACTTCCTGGTTATCTCTGCACCCCTACCTCCTTTATCAATGAGTGGTCATTTAGGGGCCTTAGCCGGTGATCCGGGTTGTTTCCCTCTGACAATAAAGCTTATCCCCAATGTGTCACTGACCCTATTGTTTTGAGATCAAAGTATAGTGTGCTTCATATGAATTTGAAGTAGATAATTATGTTTTTTCCTTAATTTTTTGGATCTATAATTAATTTGATAAATTTTCAATTAGGTATTTAATTTAATTTTCTTACAATTTAAATATAAAATCCTTTAACCTCTTATACTTAATATTGAATTTCTTACTCATTTGCGTGGAAAAACAACATTTTAAATCTAATTTATATTATATAGTTTTAGTTTTCGAAGTACATATATTCTTAATCCAATAAATTAAAAAAAAAAAAAAAGAATTTGTTTTCAAAAAGACTAAAATAACCTTCTGACTCGGTCGACCTCCACTAGTGAGGTTTAGGGTTCTGATAGCCACTATAAATGAGAAAGGTGCCTACAACTTTATCGTTTCAGTTCATACAATTCATCGACGAAGAGAGGATAAAGATCGACCTGCCATTGTTTTTCTGAGACAAAGCTCGAGTTTGGTCTCCATCGACAATGAGAGCCAAGGTTCATCTTCCTAATTTTCTTCATCTTTTGTTATCACTGTTTCCTATTCTTTCATTTTTCTCAATTTTTTGTGTATGCTTTGAGGATTTAGTTGTTTTTG